GCTCCCAGCAAGTTGTCATTGTATTAAATCACTCGGGTTCACAGTCATTTGTTATGAGCACTAGACATGAATGCAGAAAACCTTTTTGAGGTGGTTATGTTGAGCTGTATCTTAATCTAGTTTCCACTGCTATAATTCAATACCATAGACTGAATAACTTCTAAGGGATAAAGGTTTATTTTTTCCATGGTTCTGGAGATCCAAGAGACTCTATGAAGAGTCTTTGGACAGACGATCCTATGGGGTCATAGGATCGTAAGGCATTATATGGTATAACAAGGCTTTGTGGCCCAGGTACCTCCCCTTCTTACAAAAACCTAGTCCTGTTGGGTTAGGACTTCATTTAACCTTAATTACCTCTAAAGCTCCTGCCTCTGAATACCAGTCAGCTCAAGTTTCTACCTTCCCCATAGAGCACAGTGAGGATTACATTTCAACATGACTTCTGATGGGGACAGTTGAACCATAGCATCTTGGAAGCTGGCAGCCTTAGGAAGAATTGGAAGAGAGAGAACAAAGAAGAGGGGCTGGCAAACGCAATACCTTTCCCAGGAGTGCTGTCTGCAAGGTAGTAGAAGACCCCAGAGCAACCCTCCTGTAATTCCACAGCACAATTCTGTGGAGAGCAGGCTGTTAGGAAAGACTAGGAAGCAAGACTGTCTGGCTGGGGGAATGGGGTGGACTGGGAGGAGGTACAAACTGTCAGTTATACATGACTATAATTCCAGCACTAAGGAGGCAGAGGCAAGAGAATTATAAGTTCAAGGCCAACCTGGAGCTAGGCACCAGTGGCTCAAGCCTGTAATCCTAGCTATTGAAGAGACTAAGATCTGGAAATCACAGTTCAACATCATCCTAGACTCTTTTATCTTTAACTGGTAACAAGCCAGAAGTGGAGGGGTGACTCAAGTGGTAGAGTACCAGCCTTGGGTGAAAAGCTAAAGGACAGTGCCTAGACCCTGAGTTCAAGCCCTAGTATTAGCACAAACAAACAAACTAGGGCTGGGAAGGTGGCTCAGTGGTAGAGTGCTTGACTTGCATGCCTGAGGCCCTGGGTTCAATTCCTCAGCACCACATAAGAAAAAAGCCGGAAGTGGCACTGTGGCTCAAGTGGTAGAGTGCTAGCCTTGAGCTGAAGAGCTGAGGGACAGTGCCCAGGCCCAGAGTTCAGGCCCCAGGACTGGGCCAAAAAAAAAAACAACTATCCTAAGTTACTATATAAACACATGTTAAAGGTACAGCCAAACAATCAAGGAGAGAAAGAGAGAGAGAGAGAGGAGAGAGAGAGGAGAGAGATAAGGTTAAGACCATTCAACTTAATCACTTAGCTACAGACTCATTTCTGAAATGGGTTTACTAATAGCCCTAGTCCCCTGGCCCCACAGAGCTACCTGCAAAGTATAAAGAAAATATAATGTGCTGCACTATCAAAGGCAGAGAGGCATGCCCCCGGGAAAAAATAACAAGCTTTGCCCATTTTAATGAATAGCCCTCTTCAAAGTGGTTCTTCATCTTCTCACTAATGTTTAAGGTCTTTTATTTTCTCATCTTCTGTTTTCACCCTAAACTCTACTCTTAGAAGCAGCAGGAGTGATGATTTCAGGTCCTTGGACTCCTGACTCACATCCCAATGCCTGCAACAAGTGGTTCTTTGGTTTTTTTGTTTCTGTTTTAGGAATTTTGTTTGTTCGACTTTTCAGTATGGAAGATTGAAGCATGGGCCACTTGAGACATGCCCTAGTTCTTTTTCTTAGCTTTCGTTGTTGTTTTCCATACAGAGTTTTGTGATTTTGGCCCAGCCAGCCTTGAGCTATGATCTTCCCGTCTCTCCCTCTCTAGTTGCTGGCATTACAGGTATGAACCACCATGCCCAGCAAAAATTCTTATTATCCTCTCCTTACAAACTCTCATTAATATGATGCTCCTCAGATCTGTTCCCTTTGGTCTCCCCATAAAGATTCCAACTTCCAAGTTTCTATTTTCTTCTCCTTTTTGCCTTACTGTCCCTCAATTATCATGATGTGAACATTCCCAACAGGTGTGCTCAGCATTCACTTGAGCGCAGTTGGAAATGAAGGATGGAGAGGGAAGATGCCAGGGGGTAACCCTCTCTTCTCCTGCTTGTTATCGTAAGCCCTTGCTAGGAACTTGCACACCCCAGTCAGCCAAACAGAACCCCTTCAGTAAACAACTATCTTTTTGGAAAGCAAGCAAGCAAAACTCCCACTTCCTCTAATGCTTGTAATGTCCTATCTACCGGTCTGCCTCATACCAGACCTGTCCACATCTGGTCACAAAGAATGGATCATAGCATGGATGTTTGCTGGCCTTTATCTCTTCACTGCCAGATGTCCAGGGAAACATGTTTTACACTTGGAGAAATGGAACATTAGTCAAGAAGACAAAAGGAGTAATTTAACTTTGAGCTCACATCCAGGGTATGAAATAATCACAACATTTGGACAAGTTTGTTTTACTTTGTTGTAAGATTGGCCTGTTTTGATGGCCTCTGAACGTTCCCACTTTCTTCTTTCCGGAGCACTCAGTTAAAAATGCACATCCAACACTATTACACTGCTTGTGGGAATGAACACTTATACAACCACTTTGGAAAGCAGTCTGAAGGGGCCTCAGAAAGCTAAATAGAGACCTCCCCTATGACCCAGCCATACCACTCCTAGGCATCTATACTGAACAACAGAAACCAGGATACAAGGACACATGCACCTCCATGTTCATTGCAGCACTGTTCACAATAGCCAGGATATGGGACCCAGATGTCCTATTACAGATGAATGGATAAAAAAAATTGTGGTACCTATATACAATGGAATATTATGTGGTCATTAGAAAGGACAAAATAATGGCATTTGCAGGGAAATGGATGGAACTAGAAGAAATCATGTTGAGTGAGGTAAGCCAAGAGCAAAGAGACAAACGGCACATGGTCTCCCTGATAAGTAGATGTTAAATCCAAAACATAAGGAGATAGGACAAAGTAAAACAAAGACTAGAGAAACAAAGGACCTCCACTTCTCTGGCAGAATCATTACTAAATGACCCCATGCTGCTGACCACATATATGATATATATGTGCACATCGGAGGAAAACTAGGAGGAAGACACAGAACTAGAGGGAAATGGGAAAACATACAACAGTGGGACCCATCAGCTGCACTGGACATTGATCAAAACGAACTAAGCAACTCAATGGCAGTGATGGGAGGGAGGGAATGAGCAGGAAAGAGGGAATAGCTGACACTAAGCAAAAGGAAAAAAATGTACATGTGGAAGAAATAACTGTATTGTCAAAGCTCATAGAATTCATAAACTTTATAGACCACAATAAAGACAATTTGCCCCATGACAAAAATAAAAATAAAATATACTATCAAGCCAGGGGAAGAAAAAAATGCACATCCTACATTGCGACAGGAAGCCAGTATCTGTTTATACATATGCCCAGAGCCAAGAAAAAAGCCACGAACAAAAGCAACCCTTCCTTCCAATACTGTGGCTTCAAATTTTTAATTAAACACATTTTAAAAACTAATGTTTACAGCCAGGTGACAGTGGCTCACACCTGCAATCTAGGTACTCAGGAGGTTAAGATTGAAGGATCGCATTTGAAGCCAGCATGAGCAGGAAAGTCCATGAGATTCTCATCTCCAGCAAGTGGAGGTATGACTTAAGTGATAGAGCATCAACCTTAAGTGAAAAAGTGAAAGAAGAGCCCCTGGGCCTGGAGTTCAAGACCTAGTATTGGTATCTAAATAAATAAATAAGCTGCTGCTGCTTATAATCCATTAAGTGGATTTTGTGACCTTCTTTGGTTTCAACTCAATTTTTAAAAAATACTACCTTGCAGGTTTCAATGAGATAATGCAAGTAAAGGGTTTGATCCAGAGGACAGCTCTCTAAATGAAAACTTTGAAAAATACTTTATTAAGGGCTATTTCCATGCTGGAATGTGAAGGGAAAGTCTGATAATGAATAAAATACCCAAAATCCTAACAGGGAAAGAATTCCAGTGCAGCTTAAGACTTTCCTAACTCTTATCTTTGCATAATTGGTTTCTTCTCAGCCATCTTGGGGTTCTCAGGTCAAATGCTGGGGCTCAGTGAAGCCCTCCCACAGAACACTGGCTCTGCTATCCTTCCTTAACTTCGCTGGATCGGGTTACTCTACTGTCTCCTTATCTAAAATCAACTACTTATTTGCATGCTTCTTGCCTGGTGTGAAAAGTCTACATGGAAAGTGAAGAGATAATTTCCACCTTAAGGCTAGGAATCTGACTTGCTCCCATCTGTCCCAGATACACAAGTTGCCCAGCAGGTCCTTCAATGAACAACAGATGAATGACCACCAGGAAATAAGCAGAGGCATTGTGATCAGATATAAATGTAGCAAGCCCTTCCGTTTGTATAGGCATTGGAGCTTACACTTTGCCTTCTTTATGATTTGTGAAAATTGGATAATTTGAGAAGAAATAACCAAGACAGGAAGGCTTGCTTAAGGGCTTGAGTGTCTAGGAAAGAAGTACCATAATTAAGGAAATTCGTTATTCGGGGTTCTAGTTAGTTCTGTCAGTATTTTATTTCCACCTTGACCTCGTTGAGGACAAGGCCAGCTTTGTTAATATCTGTATCCCTCATCAGCGTCCAGAACACTGCCTGAAAGTTAGTAGGCGCTCCATCACTATGTGAGGAATGAAAGAACCAAGGAGGGAACTCTGAAGAATGTCGACACAAACCAACTAGGTTTGGGCGGACTGCAGTTCCTCCCCGGGACAGGAGGCGACGCCAGCGTTACGTTAGCGCGGCCTCGGGCAATTCTTGGCCCCTCCGGCTGGCCGTCCATCGCTGAGTTTTTGTGCGTGCAGAAATTAGCCAATAGAAACCAACCTTAGTTGGTTGGTCCGGTAGAGATGTCCAATGAGAGCAGCATGTTTAAGAAAGGGGCGGGAATGAGGGACGGGACCGAGGGAAGCGGTTGGCGGAGGGAGTTGGCGCTACAGGCCAGGTGGGGGCCGAGGGCTGCGATGCGGACGGCGCCGGGGCGGTGACCGGAGCTGCCGCCCGACATGAACTCGCTGGAGCAGGCGGAAGGTAGGGCGCGTCGCCAGGGGCCACACTGGGGACCCCTCGGAAGCCGGCCCCGCCGGGACGCGGAGGGCCGGGGAGGCGGCGGAGGGCGGG